CAAATACTAGACAAAGCACTTAGCAACTACAATTCATAATACATGGCAGTTAACTTAGTTTATTAACTAAAATAATTAATAACTTCTGCTCATCCTTCAAGTTCTGGCTTTAATTTGTCCAGGAAGCAATCCCAAATTCCCCACCCTCCAACTCCACCAACATAAGGTCTCCCAAATCTACTCTGTAACTTTCTGGTACATTTGTGATTATCCAGTCTATGACCTTTCCCACTAGGTTGTGAAGCCCAGGAAGGGTCATGTTGGTAATCCTATCAGTTCATTGTAACTGGGACAATACAGACTTTCAAATATTTGCTAAATCACTTTAACGACATGAGTAAAACATACCTTTCAATGCTATACTCAAATAGAAGCCTGCAACTCCTTCAGCATGAATTGGTAATTGTTGGCTTTGCTTTTCTGTACTGAAGTATAATTAGTAGCTCAAAGTTGAGGATCTTAATTTAGAATATATTTATTGATTTTTATCAACATATTATTTACTATTTATGATCAAATCACAGGGTAAGGATGACTCGGGARGCTGACGCAGGAGGATCCCAAGTTCAAAGCCAGCTTCAGCAACTTAGGGAGGACCTAAGCAACTTAGTAGACTCTGCCTCAAAATAAATAAAAAATAAAAAGGCTGGGGATATGGCTCAGTGGCTAAGCACCCCTAGGATCAAAAAGGATTAAAAAAAAAATCACAGGTAAGACGACCCCCAAAGATTGTTATCTCYAATAGTTTTATTACCACTTCCACAAAAAGTTAAATAAGACACCTGATTCTTTTATCAAGCATTATAAATATCTTCATCCAGAAGGTCTTAAAAATATATTTATTTTTTAGTTATAGGTGACACACAATATCTTTCATTTTTACGTGGTGCTGRGGATCGAACCCACGCATACTAAGCAAGTACTCTACCATTGAGCCAAAACCCCAGCCCCCTTAATGTGTTTACATATTGTTTTTTGTCCCTAAATTAGTTTTCTATTGAATTTAATTAAACTACTCTACCCATCTCAATGAATAAACATTTTAATTGCAACATATCACATGGATTTCTGAAAAAGACCTTATACTGCCTATAGACTCAATATATTAAATATAATAAAGTCAAAACTAAAAGCGAGAGTARCCATGTAAAACAGAAAGGATATTTTATAAATGTTTTTACATACAAATTTCTTTTGAAAAAGTCTACCTTTTCCCCGAACTTCCACCTTGGGAGGTAATGATTCATTTCATTTAAAAGTTTATCTCGTAAAACTAATGTCCTGGCTTCTGGCTCACCTCTTTAAGAGTTCATCTTAAGATTTTCATCTACATTTGCTTTAACCCCATACTTTCATTCATTGATGAGTAAAGCTGATTTGCCATGGATTTCATCTTTTCTCCAAAAAAATATAGTTTTGAATTCATTCTATGCCTGCCTGGCATTTATTAATCTTATTTAAGTGCAGTTACCTTATTTCTAAGTTTCAGTTTCCTCTGTAAAACTGTTTTTTTAAAAAACAAAAGCCCAGCTATTTTTTAAAATTTTTATTTTATTTATTTTTATGTTCGGTCCTGAGGATCGAACTCAGTGCCTCACATGTGCAAGGCAAGTGCTCTACCACTGAGCCACAACCTCAGCCCAAGCCCAGTTATTTTTGATTAAAAAAYAATTAAAGACAGTACAAGTAAAAGACCTAGTACTGAACCTGGAACATRGGTGCTCATGCAATGCTAAATGTTAAGAAGCTGGGTAGAGTAATTCAGATGGGCAATAATTAAGTCCAGACAGGAGCAGAATACCAAATACTCATCCCCGGCACAAAAATGCTACTGTAGATGTTTTATAACCATAACTCATTCAGTGACCACTTCCCAGATGCTCAGCACACACAAAACCAGGTTATGTATATGGAAAACACTAAGAATTTAAGAAATACTTTCTCCCTCCCCTCAATGGGGAACATGATAAGTTCTAGGTAGTGATGTTGGCCAGATTATACTCTGTGCATTTAAAAATGTGTAACAACAAATCCTATCATTATGTACAACTCTAATGAACCAGTTTAAAAAAAAGTGAGAGAAAATAAATAAAAGAAAAAAATAAATTTAAAACAAATGAGGATGAAATGAATCAAAATGTTCGGTTACCTAAGTTACCTATATTGTCTATGATATGGGATGGCAGATGGCTTGTGCTTTTTTATGTATGATAGTATAATGAGCTTGTTATTTTCATACTAAAATATTTTAAAGGAGACAAGAGTGTAAAGAAGAAAATTCCATTTTTAATAGTTTTTTTTTTTTTTAAATGAATGGCAAAGGGCAAACTTTGTAAAAAAGAGCTGGAGAGGCAGAGGGGAAAATAGTAACATAATAGGTAAAAAAATAGTAACAATATAGGTTAAAAAAAAMCAGCAAAAATGTAGAGGGTAGGAATATTAAGGGTATGATCCGCAAGCCTAAGTAAGGCAGACTGGTTTTGAAACAATGAGATATACAATTGTGCCTTACACACACTAAGTAGCACTTAACCAAATATGTGAAAGACTGGTTGGCAGCTGAATTCTCAGGGCATTTTTGATGTGATTCAAAGCAGTCTAAACTTGTAAGCCACGGCCTTTGTAGACAGTAGAGCAGAAAATGATAAAAATGCTTTTAATCAAATAGATTAGAATGGGGATAYTCTAGAAATAAGAGTAGCCAATTTCTGGTTCACAGACATGGTTTATGTGGCTTACGTGGTATTTTAAGGATCTGGAAGAGACACAAAATCCCCAAGTTTTTAATTCTTAAAAGCCAAACATTTTCACAAGAAAAATGTGACTCCTCTCTAGGCAGGACAGGTGCTCTTCATGGTTTCCTATGTTGTTGCCTTACTTCTTTCATGTACCTAACTTTTCTGGTCTCCAGACACTGAGTTTTGATTGCTAAATGATGCCTGAGTTAGATCACCTAATACAATGAAGTCAGAAGGGTCTGTCATAGAATGATGGACAGAAGATGCATAGCAGGACCTGCAGTGCAGGCTCCCTTCTCAGAGTGTAGAGACTTAGGACCACATTRCCTGGGTGTGAGTCCTGGCTTCACCACTTACTAGCTCTGTGACCTGGCACTAATGAATCACTTAATATCTGTCTCATTTTTCCCCATCTGTAAAATGATGACTTAATAATACAATTACCTATCCTTGGTTAAGGGCCGAATGAGTAAATATGTGGAAACCATTTACTGTAGTGCCTGGTACAAAATTAGCTTTTGTTAAATTTATTGCATGCTTACGATAAGMGTGGTTTTAGTAGGAATAAAAATTCAGACTTTACACTTAATAGGTACTACAAAATAAAGAGAGCTGTCAAAGGTGACAGTAGAGATATACAAGTTATCTACACAAAGGTAAATAAAACCGTGTCAACAGATGAATTCTTCAAGGGAGAAATTTTAGATAAAAAAAATCAAAAAGTAGAGGACTAAGCTTCAAAATAAATAAATAAATAAATAAATAAAACAAAACCTGCAAATGGATGTAGAAAGCTGAGTCAGACAAAGTGTGATTAGAAAGTGTAAGGAATAAGGACAAGAAGAAACTGTGTCAACAGCTACTAGCAATACTTCTATTGTACACTGGTAAAATTTTTAGTTTTTAAAGCATGATCTTACTGGATCCTAATAATGATCCAATGTAGTAGAATTATTATCTTCATTTTACTAATGAAGAAAAGTTCTGAAATTACTGTATAAGATCATACACACAGACAGACAGACAGACAGACAGACACACACTTTTATTCTCTTATAATAATTCTGTAAGAATTAGGATGCATTAAACTTAACTTCATTCAGTGGAGCAAGTATTAAGCCCCCTTCCCATTTTTTTTTAATAAAAATGAAATAAAAAAATAAATGAAGGAATCTGCTAAAGGAATCTGTTTACTACTGTAAACAACAAATCACAAATTAAATTAACTGTAGGGGTAGCTCAGTAATAGAGCCCCTATGCAGCACTCATGAGTTCCTGGGGTCCGTCACCAGCACCACACAAAGAGTAATCAATAATGCATATACCATAGGAATGCAATATTCAGTTTTAATTATGTTACCTTTTATTATTTTACAATATACTTCAAAAATGCCATTACAGTTGCCTTAACTGCTCTATAAGACCTGGAATAAAAGAACACTTATAATTAGAACACACAAACATTAAGCTGAAATACCTACTTGTACTGAACCATTAATACCAAAGGGTTGTAGTTTTTTAAATAAGCAGATGTGTGGCAATGAATAATAAAATAAAAACTTGTTAAAACAGAAAGTAAACTTTGCTTTAATGGCTACAGAAAGGAGGTGGTTTTTTGTTTCCTTTTTCAACACATCTGGTTCTGGCAGCAAGTAGTAGTATGCATTTAAAGCAATGTGCCCTGAAAGCTTATATCTTCTATTTGTGCGTATCACTTTAATCAGAGACCAGAAACATGAAAAAAATATTGTTCTTGATACCCTCAATATCTCTCCTTCCCTAAGGTCACAATACTAGTGAACTCAAAACTCACTGGCGATGACACTTTACAATTATTTTTCTCCAGTAATACTGGATGCTTTTAATTTTCTCTAAAAGACAAGTGCTGAAAACACCAAGAAATCCTCCAGGGTCAAATTGTCGCTTCACATTCTCCAMGTAGTAAAATAGCAGCTCTACATGGTGATGAAAACGTATTTCCATTTCTTTGTATTAGTTTTTAATCATGTTAACATTTAAACATATCTGAATATCGATGGATTTCCAAAATGAAAATCTTAGTTGATAAATATTTTAGAGCTTTAATAAAGCATCACATACATGTAATTAGCTATTACTTACCAAAACAAAACAAAACAAATTAAAAAACCACCATATGTATGTATATATATTTACTTATCTTACCTTCACTGAAGTTTTTTTCTGGCTGGACATGAGAAACAAGATTAAGTGCCAATGCTGGCTTTATTTTTTTTAAAAAACAATAATTTGGGTCTTTTTCATTCAATGTGACTGCAGCATTTTCATAATAAACTCACAAAGGCAATACAAAGAAATACCTACTGAACAGGTTTCTGCCAGGCAATTCATGTTTTAAAGTTAAGACTCTACCAAAGTGGCACTACGGCATTATAGGCATTCAATTTTTGTTTTCTTTTTTCAAGTTTGTCAGTTCTTCACTATTATTATWTTTTCCCCTAGCAGGAGATAGTGTGTAATCAGAAAGTAAGGTTGAGAGACCATTTACAGTTTCTTGCAGTCTCATGGTGGATTTATCTGAAGAGCTGATATAAACCAAAGTGAACACTAGTCAACTAGAACCACATTTGGTCACATTCAAACAGTTCCAAAAGCACGTTGGTACTATATATGTTTCCTTCTTAACTGATTCCATGTTAATTTTATTAAAATTATAACAAATAAAATTGCAAAGTTTTTGTAGAATTGTATTTTTAGGGAACTACTATATTCAAATTAAAATATTTCAATTTGTAAAATGTCATTAGTAATATCGTTTCTAAAAACATGGTTGCAAAATAAAAAGGCACAAAAGGGGATAAGAAGAAATATTTTCAACTTTCAGTGAAGAGTACCAAAGCATGTATCTCATGAAGAAAAGTAGAGAAAAATGTTCAGTAATTCATGCACAACTTGAGCTATGAAAAAACTTCTCTTCTGATAGATCCTGAGGCTTGAGGAGAAAACAAGTTTTCCTAATCACRTGCTTCATGTAAAATAAAATGTAAAGCTGCACATACATACACGTTTGGTTTTAACAGTGGACCCATTTTGTTTTTTTTAAAAAAGTGAGGCAATTAAACAAAGAAAAGCAAAACCAAAATACCTTCATAAACAAATTTCAACTGTAGCCTCTGTCCTTTTTACCACTCAGTGGGGTAAAATGTCCAATARAATGTAAAATGCAGCATACACAATCATGTAATCTAAAAACTTTTCATGATAACTTATTGCAAATTGCACTTGACAGTTCACCACAACAATGGAAAACTGGCCCCTTGTTGGTTTGCACAGTCCTTGAGCCCCAAATTGAAGTTGAAGTCACCAATAAAATGATCTGGATAAAAAGTTTGCAGCTGTGCTCAACCAGCTAGCTCCACCCTCTGGGTGTGAGCCCACCCGGGATACTGCTTTGTCCTGCTCTTTAGTGGGACTTTCATCCTCAGGCAAGTAGTCAGGCAATTCTGTGTTCTCTTCTACTTCCACAGGAGTATCTTGGAATGGGACCAGCATCTGACAGAGAATGTGTTAAGAGCTAATTACAAAATCAAATTCATATACATATACATGTCCTAAGTTAAAGGTCAACTTTATTCCTCATTCTAAGTACCATATTTATTCTCCAAGGCTCTATTTCTTCTAAAATTTCCTCTTACATGATAGAAGGCTCAAATGCTGACCACTGCATCAACACAGAAAGGAATAACTGCAAATAAGAACTCAGATGTTTATCTGCTGAGGCCATAGGAATAAATAAGCAACCTTTGACTATATGAAGACAACTAAAGCAAGTATCTGGCTACTCTGGATTCCTAGAGACTCACTGAATCCAAATGAGCTCAAGGCATTAGAGGTTCATTTTCTTTATCACAAAAGTTATTAGAAGGAGTAGCAATGGACAAGAATTTTCATCACACACTAGCCCAATGACTGCACTTTTATTTTCAGCATTGGCAAGACCAGTGAAGGTTAGGAAGAAAGTATTTTTAATAATCAATACATGAAAACCATGTATCTTCCATATAAAATCAACAAGATATCTGCACTGAGATTTTTTTTAAAAAAATCTTTCTTTATAAGTACAGACTATAAAATATACAAAAGATCTCTCTGTATTTCTAAAAAAAATTATTAACCAAGAAATACCATATTTTTATATATGTTAACTATTTATCTGGGAATACAGTAGTCATCAAAAATAATTGAGAGTCTGAGTCAGGTATAAAAATAAAATAAAACTGTTACCTCTTCCCCACTTTCACTTTTCACAACTTGCTGAGCTTTCATAACCTTGGTTGATGCTATTGCTGATGCCAAAGCCTGGGTCAGGACAAAAAGGAACAATTTTGAACACTGATTTGTTTATCTATAACCTCAAGCATATTTAGTCACTGAAAATACTAACCTCTGCTTTCAAATCTGAACGAATTCGTACCACACATCTTTGAACAGCCATTTGAAAAGTGAAGCTAATAACGCCTTTAATTTTTAACAAAGCCTCTTCACATAGATTTCTTCGAGACTGAAAAAATAAAAGCAAACTGTTGTTAAAACAGGTAAAATATTAAAAGGGAATAAATCAACTTAAGCTACACTAAAGTAGTCATTACAGTCACATGTCACTTAACAAAGGGATATATACGTTCTAAAAAMCTCATTGTTAGGAGATTTTGTTATATGAACATCTTAGAGCATATTTACACAAATAGATGCACAGCCTACTACAGACCCAGGCCATGTATAGCCTATACTCCTTACTGGACTGAGTACTGTAGGCAACTGTACACAATAAGTACTTCTGTATCTAAATGTATCTAACATAGAAAAAATAAAGTAAAAATATTAGGTGATAGAAATTTTTCAGCTCCATTAAATCTCATGGGACCATGATTCAGTATRTTGTTAACTGTTGACTGAACATGATCATGTAGTACATGAGTATGTTTTGAAAGGAAGGGAAGAAAATATATCTATTTTACTTCTACTGTTTCACACTTCAGGGCAGAGAGTGGGGTGCTAAGTCAAGTTAATTAAAYTTTATAAGATCAACAGAATAATAATTTCTGCTAGATTTTTAAATAYTCAATATTAATATATAGTTTTAATAATTTTTATCAAAAAGAAGGTAGYCTTGGTGCTGGGGTTATGGCTCAGYGGTAGAGTGCTTGCCTCGCATGTGCAAGGCCCTGGGTTCGATCCTCAGAACCACATAAAAATAAATAAAAAGTTATTGTGTACAACTACTAAAAAATAAATATTTTAAAAAAAGAAGGTAGCCAATATTAATTTGCATCTTAAGTCAAAAAAGCAAATGAATAATATGTGAAAATGTGCCCTAAAGCAGAGAATCAGAGGCCAAAGGTATTTATTCTCTGGTCCTATTAAAAAAAAAAAAAAAAAAAAAAGCCATCAACAACAACAAAAACTTAACTAGTTTCTGCTCTAGCTTAAAAATCTCCAGGATAAATTTTAAGACTGAAGTTAGAATTAGCAGGCACTGGGCATTTGAGCCACTATTACTTAAACATTGTTCCGTGGTTATTTSTAAATATTACTTACTATATCTTAYAATTATGGCATTCTCTATGGCTACTGTTTTGGTCTCAATGACCATCAAAAACCTTTGTGGTGGAGCTGGGGTTGTGGCTCAGTGATAGAGCACTTGCCTTACATGTGATCCTCAGCACCACAGAAAAATAAAGATATTGTGTCCATCTACAATTAAATATTTATATTTATACTTATATTACCTTTGTAGTTCTCATTTCCCTCCAATGGTATTCATAGCATAATATACCACAGCTTTCAAGCAAGATCTTGCACTTATGCCACTGATTATTCCAACTCTGTCTCATCTTACTTCCAAGGTCTAGTGCCTATAATTAAGTAACTTATTTTGTCTTTTGATCCTCAGGAGATTATTCTTATCACTTCACCATCACTAACTCCAATAGGACTTTTTAATTTTTATTTTTTTATCAGACATATCTACTTAGATATCAAGTCATCACCTCAAACGAAGATCCAAAGTAGAAATGAATTAAAAAKTAGCTGAATTATATCTCCAGTTCACACACAAAATCACTACCTTAAAAATTCTCCTGTTTCTGTASTGAGCCCAAATTCTGACCCAAAATTTCAAAGGGCATGAGAGTCTGCACTTGACCAAGATCTAGACCACACCCAGTTTTCAAACTCTTTTCTACCTCCTTTTAAACAACTCATGGTTATTGCTTATTCCTTTCTTCAGCATTTTAACACTACTCAGGGAGATATCTGGGTTACAAGTCTGTGGCAGAGTGCAGGCCCACAGTGGGCTCACCTGGTGCACAGTCTATTGAATCTATTCTGCCAAGACCTGACTTCTGTGAAGCCCTTTTAGGGGTGTGGTACAGAACAGTGGCATGTTTCTCTCTTTCATGGATTTAATACCAGGTAAACTTAAAAAACTATGCACAGGACATATATCATGAGATTTAAGATTTTATAAATATAATTCTTTACTTTAAATGTGAGGAAAGTGAAAAACCGAAAAGTATCCTTCCTATTATACATAGTCTAAAACTAAATTCCAACCACATGAGACAGAGAGAAACAAGATTCATAAAGTCATCTCATTTTTAACTGTCTGTCTCCCCTAATGAAATTACACCAATTTTGGTTATTGCTATCTCCCTGGTACCCAAAATGATGCCTAACACTAGGTGATCCTTTCTAGTACAAAAGTTAGTACAGGATGACTATTTCTAATTTAAAGAAGTATTAACAATATATTGTGGGATTCATATGACAAGCAGAAGTAAAAGATATGAAAAAAGTGTAAGTATACTGTTAAAGTGTCTTATACTATACATGAAATTATACAATATTAGTTGAAGCTAGACTGTAAGTCAAAGATTAGAAAATAAATCATAAACCAAGGAATGAATGAGTAAAAGAAAGAACTATAGCTAAACAGTTAATAAAGGCATAAAATAGAATCTCAAAAGTAATCCAACTAGTTCAAAAGAAGGCAGAGGAAAAAAGAAAACAAAGAACCAGCAGGACAAATAGAAAGGAGTCAGCATAAAAAAAAAAAAAAAAATCAACTGTTCAAAAAGTTCTATTAAAAAGGCAGAAAAGTTTAGACTGGATAAAAAAGCAAGACCTAAATACATGATACCTGGGAGAAATTCACTTGAAATATGCCCAACTTGTTGAGAGCAAACCCGAAAGACTAATACTAAAAGAAGACAAAGTAGAATGAGTTCAGAAGGATCCACATGTTATGGAGAACTACAATTGTATTTCTATAATACTCCAGAAGAATTTGTATAATTAATATTATTTCTACCTTAAATGTTGGGTAGAAAATTTACCAATGAGGCATCTAGGCCTGAAGTTTTCTTTAAGGGAAGGTTTTTAACTACAAATTCAAYTTAATAGATATAGAGCTAATTAAGTTATCTATGCCCTCTTGAATGAGATTAATCAGTGTCAAGTCATTTAAGTATTTACATATTATGCTTTCAATGTCTACAGGATGTATGTTTGTGTCCTCTTTTATTTCTGATATTGATAATTTGTGACTTCTCTTTTTTCTTAATCAGTTTGGCTATGGGTTTATCAATTTTATTGATCAAGTCAACAAATTTGATTTCACCGATTTTTCTCTATTGTTTTCATTTACTAATTTCTACTRTTTCTTCTCTTGTATTTACTTTGGCTTTAATTTGTTCTTCACTTTCCATTTTCTTTAGCTTTAATTTGTTCTTCACGTTTTATTTTCTTAAGGTAGAAGCCTAAGTCAACAACCTGACGTCTTTTCTCTTTTGTATATAAATATTTAGGCACGTGCTAATGAATTTCTACTCTAGACACTATTTTGGCTGCTTTCAACAAATTTTGATATTATACTTTCATTTCTATGAAATTTAAAATGTTTTCTAGTTTTTATTAATTTATGCATTGACCCATAGTTTATTTTAGAAATGTGTCTGTTTCTCAAATTTTGGAGGGATTTTCTAGATACCTTYATGTTACTAATTTCTAATTTGCTTTCTTTGTGTTAAGAGGACATAGACTCGTCTTATGAACCAAATATAATCTCTTAGTAAGTGTTTCCTGGGCACACAAAAGAATGAATATATTCTTTAGCTGGGTATGGTAAAATAATAGTAAATATTAGGTTAAGGTGATCAATAGTAATATTTTTTTGAGTCTTCTGTAGCATCACTGGTTTTACTGTAGACTTATTCTACTAATTGAGAAAGTGTCATCGAAATCTCTAGCTCTAACAATGAATTTTGTCTGTTTCTCCTTGCATAGCTTTCAGTTTTTGCTTCATATATTTTGATGATCTATTATTAGATGCATAAAAGCCATTATGTCTTCTAGCACATAATATCCCTTTTCACAGACATAAAATACTGATATTGAGACTTCCTCTTAAGACTATTAACAAATAACATGAAACAGTTTTAGTTAACATGATTTCTTTTTCCTCTTTTATGAACCACATGTTGAAAAAACACTTACCGTATCATCAAGACCATCTATGTGCAAAACCACTGTTTTGGCACGTTTGTTTGTAGTCCCCAGAAAAAACTGCGCTTTCCTTCGACGTGAATTCACTTCATTAAAACTATCACCATCTGCCATATTGGAGGACTGAAGAATGTCATAGATTTCAGAGGCCAGAAGCTTTGTTTCTCCTGGAGTTGTAGTCCTTGTAAAGACACATTTAAATTAATAAGCAGTTACTTCTACTGATTCTGCAATTTTATTTCTCAATTTTCAAGAGCCTTGTTTCCTTCATCCTGATGCCTTGCTCAATTCAAATGCCATAATGTAGAAAGCATTTTAAATTTAAAAACAATAATGCAGAAAAATCCTAYCAATATAGTGGTACAAAACCACATTGAAATTATTAAATAGAAAACCAATTAATAAGATCAGGTTATACAACATATCCCTGGATCATCACTAACATTTAATTCTTAATTTGAAAGTAAATGAACTTCAAAAAAGTACAATGTTAAAAAAAAACACAAAAGGAGGAAATAAACCATGTTGTTATTCATATTATCAGATAATTCTAGGATGAGATCTTAGAACATTCAAATTAATTCTATTTTTTTAATTTATGATTTTATATTTCTTTTACAAACCATGTATGTATCATAAAACCACAACTCAAAAGTTTTCATTCTTAAACTTTTAAAAATCCTCATTATACCTACAMATGAGCTCAATTAAGTTTAAACCTTTCAACACACATTGGAGGTCTTAAAGTCTGTCCCCATTCAGCTATCTGCTCCTTTCATCCTTTTATAATTCTTCAGGTTAGTCCATTATGATACTAGAAGATATCTTCTAGAAAGACCTTGCATTTTCACATATTCCTCTTTGCTGTTCTTTGTCCTGTAATGCTTTCCATATTTTCTTCAGCCAGAAGTTCTTTACCCAGACCACAGGTTTTCTAACCTAACTTCCACCCTTGAAGTSTCAGTTTCATCACTGCGTTCAATATGAACACCCCATAAGAGTCCATTTCTCACACCAGAAAGTACTGTTTGTATTGACCTTAATTTTCTACTTCTTTTACAAGTATATAAAAGCCTTACTAGGATGTRTGTTCTCTTTATACCTTCCAGAGAGCCTAAAAAAAATCTGTATATCAAGTAATACTTCAATTTATAATATTCATATCCAGCCTAGATATGTCAGATTTTCTACCACCCCTGGAACTAAAGCTCCATATAGCTAGCAATGTACAGTGCCAGGCACTCAATCACATGAGGTGATTTTCTTGGCCAGTTAACTACAAAGATAAATTACTTTAGCTCTGGGTTGCAGGAAATTATCAAAAAACCTATTTTGGGGGTTGGGGATGTAGCTCTCAGTGATACAGCACTCACCTAGGATATGTGAGGACCTGGGATTGATTCCCAATATAGCAAAAACAAAATAAAATAAAACCTTTAAAGCCTATTTTTCATTTTTAAGGAGATGTCTCAGCATGTTTCACAATAGTTGTTTAACAAATTATTAAAAAGGTGACTGTAGTTCTCAGATATTTTAATTATTAGCCAAATATARGCTATAGAGTGTGAGGATACAATGGTTAGAAGTACCCAGAAATTTAAGAGGAAAAAGAAAAAGCTGGTAWGTTTGTTACAGCTTTCCACCTTCAGTAATCTTCAGGTGTTTGTATCAAATAAAAAAAGAATCATCTTGCTGGGCAAGGTGGTAAGGCTTGTAATCCCAGTTACTCAGGAAGCTGAGGCAGAAGGATCCCAAGTTTAAGGCCAGCCTGGGCAACTTAGCAAGACCCTGTCTCAAAATAAAAAGAGTTGGGGGTGTAGCCGGGTGAAAGTGAGTTTGTCTAGCATGCGCAAAAGCCCTGAGTTCAATCTCCAGTACAAAATAAATAAATAAAAACTAATGACCTTCATATATTTTTAAAACACACTATTCCAAAACTTTTTGAGAGAGAGAGAGGTGCTGAGGATCGAACCCAGCGCCMGCACATGCCAGGCGAGTGCACTACCATTTGAGCCACATCCTCATTCCCCCAAAACTTTTTATATATTTTATAATGACCCAATAGTTATTTGAGAACCTGATATAAATTTAGAGACCATTTAATAGGGAAAGTGAAAGTAAATTTTTTTCCCTAAATCAATTTTGCTCAGTCTGGCTTTGAACTTGCTATCTTCTATCTCAGCCTCCTGAGCTGATGGAACTACAGGCATGCACCACCACACCGGGTTTTCTAAATCAATTTTAGTGATATTATGTCCCCACCTAAAYCCATCTACTTTCTGTTCTATCAACTTTTAAGATAGATGGTTTAAATTGATTTGACACTGATTTTGAATTAGAGCCTCAAAGTAGGGATACTAGCCAATGTTTGAAAAAGTTCATAAGATGGAAATTACTGATACATATTACTAATACCACTTAAAATTTTTTAATAGTGATAAAGACACAAAGATATATACWTCTTTGAGTAATTCTTCCAGTAATAATCGTTAAGAAAACATCCCATGCTATAAAACTAATATAAAATAGCCCTATATGCAGTTAGGTAAAGAAGTTTGAGAACTTCTCCTGTCCATCAGAACTTTCTGATGATAAAAATACTTTCTTTAGCCAGATGACCACTGAATACTTCATTTTTGCATAGGTGGAGATTGACCCAGGGCCTCCAGCATGTTAGCCAAGTATTCTACCTGAGCTACACCCCCAGTCTCCTAGAAATTTATTTTTAAATTTAATTTTAATTAATTAAAACAATTGCTAATGGTTACTATATGGGAACAGTTTTAGGAAAAATGAAGGTCACTAATAATAATAATAATAATAATAATAATAATAATAATTTAAAAAGGTTCTTTTGTTATCAGTTTCCTTAAACCAGCCTTTCTTTTCTTGGTTAATTATTGTTCTCATGCCTCTGACTAACCATTTCTCTAGCACCCTTACTGAACTATGGTTCTACAAAAGAATTTAGCTCCACAAAAACAAAACAAAACAAAACAAAAAACCCCMAAACCCAACAATTCTCTAACTATTTTCTCAATTCTCCTAAGGAGAACTGTGCTAGAATCAATCCATATGTATCAGAGAAAAGTTAATCCATTTCCATCTAAAGAGTTCCTTAAAGCTTCAGGGTTTAATTCTTTCATAAACCTATTCTACTAGTCCCCACATTAGCAGCCAACAGAGCAAGGGAGAAAATGGCCATTTATTCATACAAACAATTTGCARAAGTGGTACATGTACAGTTAAGACAGTATATCATAGCTTCAGGAGGTTGCTCACACTACTTTTATTAGAAAGTTAGGAATTAACAACAAAACTTCATAGTCACATGGGCTTGTATGTACTTAGATTAGCAAGAATAGTCATATGAAATATTAACTACTCCCACCAGAATCATTATAAATTTCTATTCCATAGTAACACACTTACCACTTTCTAAGACTCCCCCCCCCCTTTTGGTGAAAAGCATGTCATTAATACTCTTTTTTTCCTTGCAGTGCTAGATATTGAACCCAGGGCTTCATATATGCTAGGTAAGYACTCTACCACTGAGCTACAGCACCAGCCCCAATTTCTCCWTAAAATGGAAAAATTTTGAAAGGATATCAAATCAATGATGGTCTCACTGTTATTTTAACTGTCTTTCTGGTGTACCTCACACGACTCATTTTATTGCTAACTTTTTTTTTTTTAGTTGTGGATGGACACAATATCTTTACTTTTATTCACTTATTTTTATGTTGTTCTGAGGATTGAACCCAGGGCCTCATGCGTGCGAGGCAAGCACTCTACCACTAAGCTACAACCCCAGCCCCCTATTGCTAACTTTTGGAGGTGTTTACCAATATCAACAACCACTTCTCCAATTCTCTAGACACCAGCTGGGTATTCTAYAATTCAACTTTAACACTGACTATTTAGAGTTGGTGTAAGTTTTTACAGGTTTAAGGTCTCACTTCTACAAACTTTCCCTCATTTCAGATGCCAGTCACAAATACTGGGGCCCAAGGTTAACTATATTTCTGTCCAACTTGATTATAAATATGGTGAAGGTTCCCACAAATTCCCTTTGCAGGTTCTTAACTTTGCTGAACTCAGGAAGGCAATATACTTATTTTTACTTGCCTATTATATAAGGATATAACTCAGGAACTGCCAGATGAAAGAGACAATATAAGGTAAAACAAAGGGTAGGTGGTGGGGTACAAGGAGCTCCCATGCTATCCCTGGCATGCCACATTTCCAACACCTTGAATGTTGACCAACCCAGAAACTTTCCAAATCTCATGCATTTTTAAAGAGCTTACTCTTTAGACCTCTCCATCTTCCTAGAGGGCTAAAAGTTACAAMCTTCTAGCCACTCAGTTTTCTGGTGACCATGTCTGTCCTGAAGCTATTTAGGGCCCTACACTAACTAAGTCATTAGCATACTCTCATGTGTGACTCAAAAAGGGTTCAACATGAATTTTAAAAAAGACACTGGCTGGGGTTTGTAGCTCAGTGATAGTGCTCTTGCCTCTCATGTGTAAAGCACCCGGTTCAATACTCAGCACCACATAAAAATAAAGATACTGMGTCCATCTACAACTAAAAAAAAAGACTGTCATTACTCAGAWAATTCTAAGAGTTATAGAAGCTCTGTGTCAGGAATCAGGAACAAAGATCAAATACATTTTTGTATTATATCATACTTTGGAAATACCACTAATTAGTTGTCTATATTGAAGTTTCAAAATGTTATTTTTWAAAATTTGTGCTAATTAGTTATACATGACAGCAGAATGCATTTTGATACACTGTACACAAATAGAGCACAACTTCTCATTCTCCTGGCTATACATGGTGCAGAAAACACCAGTCTTGCAATCATACATGTATATACGATAATAATGTCCCTCTCATTTCACCATCCTTCCTGCCCCCACACTCCCCTCTGCCCAATCCAAAGTTCCTCCATTCCACCATTCTTCCTGCCCCAACATCCCCCACCTCTCCCCCCCATTATGGATCAGCATCCACTAATCAGAGAAAACATTCAGCCTTTGGTTTTTTGGGTTTGGCTTATTTTACTTAGCGTACTCTCCAGTTCCATCCATTTACCTGTAAATGCCATAATTTCATTCTTCTTTAAGGATGAGTAATATTCCATTGTGTACATATATAATTTCTTTATCCATTCATCTGTTGAAGGGCATCTAAGTTGGTTCCATAGTTTAGCTACTGTGAATTGAGCTGCTATAAACATTGATGTGGCTGTGTCACTGCAGTATGCTGATTCAAATGTTACTTTTTAAATACAACTGAAAAGTGAACTCTGACCTTTATTATGTATCAAAAATTATTTTCCAGCCAGGTGCAGTGGCTCCCCAGTTCCTAGGGAGGCTGAGGCTGGAGGATCACTTGAGCACAGGAGTTCAAGACCAGCCTAAGGCACAAAGTAAGACCCCCATCTCAGATAATAATAATAACAATAATAATTTTTATTGGTGTTTGTTGTGCGTGGTCCTGGGGATTGAACCCAAGCAAGTACTCTATCACTGGGCTACACTTCAGCCTCTAATTCCTAATCCTGCAACACAAAAACCACCTTAACTTTAAAATGGTTCTAAGAAGAAAGGCAACTGCTCTTGTTTTAGTAAGAATGAAGTCAGAAGTAAGTACATTCTGCCCCTTGGGTCAAAACCTGTTTGCTTATCCTATTGCCTGTGCCTGTTTTCACCCACAAGGGCAGAGCTGAGTAGTTAAAATAGAGATCACATTTCACAAAACCTAAAATAGTTATAATTTGTGTTTGTACAGAAAAAAACCCCCAATGAACTGTTTTAAGCAATCACAAAAAAAGACATGTTGAAATATTGCAGGGGGGGGAGCAAAGGATGTACACTATAACTGTAGCCATTAAGAATGACATGACAGAAGGATGGATCTACAGAAGAATGCTCCTTATGTGTTGTTAAACTACTACTACTATACTATCTTTATCTGTTGTAAGACAAAATAGCACCAGAGTTCTTGAAGACATCATATAAATCAAAGCAAAATGGGGCAACAATTTCAAGAATCTCAAGAAAACAAAAGGTGAACCAAGGATCCAGTCTACTTGTCCTTCAAGTCTCAAGGTAACAGAAATAGTTTTAAACATAAAAGAAGTCAAATAGTTGAGTTTTTCTTRAGTAATCTATTAGAGATTGAGTTTCAACAAATCAAGAGCTTACTGGGAAAACTTAGGCAAAAGGACTAATAATGAGCAGTTTATGCATTTAACTGCAGTGTAAAACTAAAATAAAGGCAGGAAAGAGAATGGAAGAATATATAAATGCTCTGATAAGGGAGAAATAACTTAAATGAGAGAGAGAGAGAGGGAGGGAGAAAGAGAAAGGGAGGGGAGGAAGGGAAGGAGGGAGGGAGAAGGAAAGTAGAAAAAGTTAAAAGACCTAATAGGTGGAAATCAAAAGAAACCATTAACTAACAAGTGGCAGTATATGCCTGTAATCCCAGTAATTAAACACTGTCTCAAAATAAAAAGGGCTAGGGATGTAGCTCTGTGGTAGAGCGCCCTGGGTTCAATCCCATTACCACACATGACAGACCACCATTTATCATGGCACTATTTCAAAATTGACAATTCTGGTAAGTTCCCCAGATGAAATTAGACATTTTAAAGTTAGGATGCCACATTTTATTAAAGTGGCTTTTCTCTATAGTTCACATCATGTTAGACAGCCATAATGCTTCAGAAAATACATCGTCTATCAGAAGTATTACTCTTAAAATACTAGTTAACAAGTGCTTTAAATTGAATTTAGACGTTCTTCCAAATTGACATTTTAAATATTCTCTTTGCAAAGGAATTCAGGCCTAAAATTACAATATAAAAGATTCTAATCTCAACAAGTTTTTATTTATAGAACAGATTAAAATTAGAATATAATGTTAGATTCATTCTGAGTGACAGAAACTGAAAATTCTTTCAATTAAAGAATCAGAAGTGACAGTGACTTTGAAATCTATCTAATTGTCAATCTTGTAAATGTCAATATGACCTCAACCTAAACTTTGTTGCTGAATACATGTTAACAATCTCAGCAACATTCTCCAGCAAAGCATAATACAGAGACTAAAGAATAAAGAAATCAGTATACAGAATTTTCCCTATTTTATAAATATTCTTCTCTGCTTCCCAAGTGAAGAATAATCTCCATTCTCTCTCCCTAGTTCCTTTTTTTATTTTTATTTTTTCTGGTTTCCCTTGATAACTGCCAGCTATAAGGTTCTCGATAGCTCTTTAGTTAGTAAGAAAATACCCCTTCACGACAAATTTTCTGGGTTGTTCTGGAGTACAGGAATATTACTCCTCTGGTACCTTCTTAGGTACATAGTTCATAACAGCATGACCAACTCTTTCCCTAACTCAGTACTCCCAAACAGAGAGATGCTAATCTAAAAGTGTGCTTCTAATCCCGTACTGATCAGCTTGTTTTTATGGAACAATCATATCAAAGAAAGCAACTTCAGTATACAATATAGATCCACTGTATTCTACAGTTTTCAAGGTGATTACATAAAAATAGAATGCCAATTAGTTTATACCAGTTAAAAATAATGATACATCAGTCATCTGTATCTAGTAACACAGATGTCAAAATGCAAAATAAGTTAGGCAAGGTGCTGCATACCTATAATCCCATCTACTCAGGCGGCTGAGGTAGTAGGAGTGCAGGTTTGCTCCAGCCTGAATAACTTGGCAAAACTTTGTCTCAAAATAAAAAAGGGCTAAGGATGTAGTTCAGTGGTACAGTGCCCCTGGGTTCAATGCCCAGAATCAGAAAAACAAGAAAAAGGAAAAGAAAATGCAAAATAATATTTAAAGAATAGACATTTACAGTGTCACTACTATTATACAAATACATACAGAAGTATCCAAAACAAGCCAAGTAGCTAGGCAGAGTAGCACAGGCCTGTAATCCCAGTGGTCCAGAAAGATGAGGTAACAGCAACTTAATGAGACCCTGTCTAAAAATAAAAAATAAAAAGGGCTGGGAATCTAGCTTAATGGTAGAGTGCCTCAATCTCCAGTACTACATAAGAGAAAGAAGAAAAGAAACAAGTAGATAAGGAATYATAATAAAAATACCAGAGCAATTTAATTTATTTAAAAATAGAATATCATGCCAAGTCATGAGGAAGTTCACAATACAATATTAAACATGCTGAACCAAAACTTGATTCTAACACTTCATAATTTTGATATTTACAAGCTACAACACAGTTCATTAACCTTCTGATAACCACACTAACATAGAATCCAAATACATTAATAAACTTCTAAGATGGTAATACTGGTAAACAAAGATAACTTTTAAAAATCTTTAAAGTCAACCTTCAAATCTGAGATATCCAACAGCCAAATGAACTGCAAAATGTATATTAAAATTATTACAGGGCTGGGGATGTGGCTCAAGCGGTAAGGCGCTCGCCTGGCATGCGTGCGGCCCGGGTTCAATCCTCAGCACCACATACAAACAAAGATGTTGTGTCTGCCAAAAACTAAAAAATAAATATTAAAATTCTCTCTCTCTGTCTCTCTCTCTCCACCCCCCCTTTAAAAAAATTATTACATTATATCCCCACTTTTAAAAGGGCTATAAAACCAAATTATAATGAAGTATTAATGAATATKTATCTCTTACTATCAGAGGAGTAAACAATGCTCACATTTTGCTCTAAAAATATATAGTTCACATATGAATTTAAAAAATAAGCCACTTGCAGAAGCCATGTAGATACATTGGATAGATCTCCCTTCAAGAAAGTCTTTGCCCTTCTGCTACAGYCACAGAATAACCAACTATAGCGGCTTTCAGATCCATTACAAACCCAAGGAGATGTTCTTCCCAAATATTCTCCAGCCAATGACTGACTAATGAGGGTACAAAAATCTGGCCATTTCTGCTCAACGTGGGACTCCTCTAAAGGGCAATCTTTGCTTAGAACTGCCCACTGAATTGGCTGTCAGACCTGTATTGTAATATGCAAGTGTCCTTGTCCCATTCAGCTTCCTTTCTTCTTTCAAAGATGTCAAATCTGCATTGTGGTCTAGAGACTTTCTCTGCCTAATTTTGCTTCATCTCTCTTTAACTTTATAGACTTTATCCCACAATACAACTCATTTATTCCTACTTCCATTTTAGTATGATGATTGCCAAGATAAAGACTTGTACTGACACCATTTCTCTTACATACATAAAAGYAGTTTCCCTACTATTTCCCTAACATTTTTCTCATTTTTCATACATACAACCACATCATTGAGTCAACCAAGGTAAGGAAGTTTTATAGGCTAATCAATGGTATCTCTAAATTTACTCTGAATTTGTGAAGTTCAAATATAAAGTATATATTAATATTTCAACATTATTTTTAACCTAMGTTCCCACATCTATTTATTTGTACCACATATTTCCAATATCAGTAACTATACCTGTTAAAGATATACACAAACTACTCATTCAAAACCAAGTCTCTAAGTCTCCAAGAAATCTCTCAATGAGGTTCATGAAAATTTCACCCAAAGTACTTTTATTACCATGATCCCAATGAAAGTTCTTTTGAGTAAAACCAAGATGAAGTAACAAAGAATACTGTACCATACTACATATCATCAAATGTTGCTTTCCTGGCAAATCAATTTATATATACCTAATATAGGATTTTTTTCTTCTTAAAAAATTATTCATAAGTAGGGTTGTCACATTTTAAATAAAATCAAACATTTTCATATGGATTATTGTTACTATCAATGTTTATCAAAACCATAAAATTAACCATCAAAATATGTTTGGACAAAGGACCTAAAAAAATACACCTTTTAAAATTTCAAATAAAATAAATGAATAAAAATAGAAAATAATGTCAGTGAATTATAACAAGACCCATTTTTCTACTACATGAGGGACACTATATATTGTACTTACTTCTGTATAACATTTTGCAAGCTTAACATCATACCCAATTCTCCTTTCATCTTTTCTCTGTTGGCACGACATTCCGCCAAGTATCGAAGAGCCTAAAGCAGCAACAGGAATAGGTTATTCACATGTCCAGGATGTTTAAAATTAAAATCTCTATACTAATTGCAAGAAAAAAGAGAAAATAAGATTTCAATTTTTAGAATCAATTGGTTTTGCAGTGTTTAGAAATTTTAAGTGTATGATACARTCTCTGAAATGATYCTCTGATCTGTAGAGGCTAAATCTGTTCTTTGGAATAAAACTTCCTAGCTTATCTGCAAGGTCAAAATCAAGTTGTTCTGGTTTTACTTCATCTTCATCTTGACAAGGACACAAGAAACTATATTCTACTTTTCAGCCTCAAGTAGTAGTCCCAATAGCCATTAACTTTCTAGATGCTTTTTACATAGAAATTAAAACAAATTGCTGAGGGGGACAAAACATACAACCATCTTTATATGAACGGATTCTAGTTTTATAACAATTCACATGAAACTTCTATAAGACAAAAACATTAAATATGAAAAGAAAAGCACACTAGACAGATTAATAAGTTTAGAATTTATGGGAAAGAAAAAAATCAGTGAACTTTAAAATGYGGTAATAAAAGTACTCAAAATGAAGCACAGAGAGAAAGAAAAAAAATACACATACATCCATACATATACATACACAATCATACATACTGTTAGGGTTTAAACATGTGTAAAGTCAAACGTATAACAAAACCAGCATGAAGGATGGAAGAAAGAAATGGAAATATATTGTCTTGTGATTCTTACACTATACATAAAACATGTGCTTTATTTAAAGGTAGACTGAGTCAGGCAAGGCAGCACACGGATGTAATCCCAGAGACTAGRGATGCTGAGGCAGAAGAATTGCAAGTTTGAGGTCAGTCTGGGCAACTGAGCAGATCCTGAGTCAAAACATGAAGGAGGACTGGGGACATAGCTCATTGGTAAAGGGAACCTGGGTTCAATCCTYAATACAACAAATATAAAATAAGTAAAAACGCATACTGTAAAACCTACAGTAACCATTAAATAAACTAAAATAAAAACAAAAGGGTATAACCAAAATAAGCTGACTACTAGAATAAGAGAATTATGAAAACACCCCATCTATTTGTCAATGTAATTGGGAACTCTTGCCTACCAATCCCTGTTCTTTCTCCTTAGCTCTATCCCTGTACGACTTTACTTTCTAGCACCCAGTCTATCATTTCAACCACTCTGGTGCCAAGATCCTAAATTTCCTTGTATAGTCGTTTTGCTCAAATTACCCAGCCAAATCATGGACCAACTATTTGGTTCTTACTGCCTTTACCAGACCTGAAGCCATATAGAAAGAAGTTTTATAACCAAATCTTAAGCTTTATATCAATCCAATGCTACCAAACTAATCAGTACCAACATTGCTGAGCAATCTTACCATTCCTCTTTAGCAAACTTTCGAATTTTCTATAATTAGGAAATCCTTCTTCTCAAAATTTTCCTGCTCTAGCAGCCCCTGGCTTCTGAATTTAGATATATTCAAGGCTAGTCTAGTAAAACAAAGCAAAACAGTTGGACACAGTAGTGCACCCCTGCAATTCCACCAATTTGGAAGAATGATTGGAGAACTRTAAATAAGTACAAGGCCAGCCTGGGCAACTTGGTGAGACTCAGTCTCAAAATAAAAAATTAAAATAAACAAACAAAAAACTTCCTTCCTTCAGTCCCAAGTCCCTATCTAGAGACCACCACCCTCTCTCTTCTCATTCTTATTGTATTTCTTACTAAAATTGGACTCAAACTAGGAGCCATGGAATTTTTCTTATTTGTAACTACTGTTGATTTCTTATATTAATGTCAGTTTTGCCCATAAAATTTCATTCTGTGAAGGCAAATAGGAAACTCATATTATACAGTTTGATTTTCTAAAAGGAAAAGCATATTTTCTGGTACAATCTTGTGAAATTATATTAAATATGAACTTTACAATGGATCTTTAAAGAATGGTAAGCAAAATTTTTATTAATTTGCTTTTAAACATTTATGATAAAATTTTAGAGAACACAAAAGCAGAGAAAAGATAGGGTGGGCAAACCATGTCCAGCTTCAACAATTATCAACCATTTGACAATCTTATTTCATTTGTCTTCCCTGCTCATAATCATAATGGTGTATTTTATAACAAAAGGATAACACATCATCTCATTTGTAAAGATTTCAGTAGATCCCTAAGAAATTTTTTCAAAATTAACTTAATATAATTTTAATGCCCTGCTGAGGTAATAATTTTTAACATGTGCTATTTGATCCCTATTCATTTCCAGCTATTTAAAACTTGTTTATGGTTGACTTTTTCAAAGTAGGATCCAAATCACATCCACATATTACACTTGGTTAGCAAGTCTCTTTCGTGTTGTTTAATCTATAATCGTTACTAACATCCCTCTAGTGGCCTTTCTAATGCCAGTTACTGTTCAAGGAACTAGATGATCTGCCTTCAAGAAATTATCACATTCTGGGTATATACACACAATGGAATTACTCAGCATGGCATTTGCAAGTAAAAGGATGGAGTTAGAGAATATCATGCTAAAAGAAATAAGCCAATCCCAAAACACCAAAGGCCAAATGTTCTCTCTGATAACTGGATGCTGATCCATAATGGGAGGGCATGGAAAAATGAAGAAACTTTGATGGGGCAAAGGGAAGAGAGGGGAGGGGAGAGAGTATATGGGGGCAGGAAAGATGGTGGAATGCGATGGACATTATTACCCTAGGTATATGTATGACTGCACATGTGGTGCGATGCTACATCATGTACAGAGAAATGAAAAGTTGTTCCGCAGTTGTGCACAATGAATCAAAATGCATTCTGCTGTCATATATATCTAATTAAAACAAATAAATAAATTTATTWAAAAAATAAATGATCACCATCAGATTTGTCTGACTGTATTGTCTTTTACATGTTTTTCTAACCCCCATATTTTTCTTAAAATATGATGTTTTTTGCATTGTTGGCTATGATCCTACATAATTTTCTCTTTTCCTTACCTTTCCTTCTCATATCAAAATAACAAGTGCYATGTCCATCAACTTATGAATGGATAAACAAAATATGACAAATTCATACAAAGGACAAAGAGAAAGTACATTAGAGGTTTCCAAGGGATAACGGGAGAGGCCTGGGGAGTAAAGGGTAAAAAATACAGTTTCTCTCTGAGGTGAAAAAACACTTTAAAACTGACTGTGGTAATGGCTGCACAACTAGGTGAACAWGGTAAAAGTCACTGAATTGTAGACTTTAAAAATGCAAACTGTATGATGGAATATGATTTATAGTCTATAAAGACATAAAATAAAAACAAAAGAGTAAATTCTTTCTTGGGCTTGTGGGTGATCTTGGTAAAGTATGTGATTAGCATGCCTAAGGCCCTGAATTCAATCCCTAGCATCGCTCCCCTCCTCAAAAAGTGATATTTTATTTTGAGCATCTACCTACAATAATATGATACAATTCTCAAGATTTCTTATTAACTAGATAAATTGCGAATAGAGCTTAGTGGTACAGCACTTGCTTAGTATACACTGGGTTTGATCCCCAACACTGCAAATAAGGAAACTGGTAATTGGCTCAACACAATGGCACATGCCTAGAGTCTCAAATATTCTGGAGACAGAGGCAGGGGGGAAMTCACTTGAACTCAGGAATTCCAGCCCAGCCTCTGCTGAGAGCCATTGCCAAGTAGGAATGACGCATCGAAATTTCCTTGCCAGCGTACCCCATGTTGCTTAGAGGAAGGACTCGTGGAAATGGACTTGCCTTGGACATTTGCTATGACACTGCATGTATGTTTGAGAAAGGTGACCCTGCTCAAAGGACCAGGGTGGATCCGGGTTTAGGGAGGATCCTACTGGATTAGGGCGGATCAGGTTTTAGGGAGT